TCTTTCCCTTCCTTCAGGGACTGCAGATGCCTTCTGACCCTTACTATTCTTAAAAATTGCACACGTCTATATGCAATAGAACTACAAATATCTTATCCAAAGATATCTCACCTGGATTCTGTTAGTGCATGAAAAATTAAGCAGGTAATGAAGAAAAACCTTTTGCCCTTCCCTCTCTCCCCACACTGTCTCCAGTATGCCAGCAAGCTGCCAGCTCACGCTCTGCTCCAGAGATTGCTCAGCCCTGCCACGTAAACAAAGTACGCTAATCAGAGCAGGTCAGTAGGTGCTTTCAGTTTGCATTTTCTAAATAACCATCAAGTGCCCTTCTTGGTGGTGGGGTCATGCACTACTACTCTACAGAAAGAGAAAGACAGAAAGAAAGGCAGCATTTTGCTGCTAACACATTTACTGTAGTTGTTCTAGCTGTCTGTTCATAGCTTACTACATCCTTTGGGCCTGGGAGTTAGGTAGGGGTAGATGCTCTGCATAAATAATCTGGGAAAGTTTCCAGATTCATCACGAAAAAGTCAGGTGTACAACACTGGCTGTGCTGAGTCCTTGTTGTGCAGTAAGGAGGACAAGGATAAAAAATTTGGCAGCGACTGTGGATTGATTTGAAAATACCTGCCTGAGTCAATTCCGGGCTGGTTAGAAGCTTGACAGGTGGAGAGAGAGACCAGTAACTAACCTCTCCCTGCTCTGTCCTCAGAGGTCTGCTACCTAAACAGCCTTGATATCCTGCAGTTTGCTGCTTCTGTTTTTGGAGGGCAGCCACACAAAACTGTGTTTACTGGCAAAACAAATGAATAAATTTGGCTGATTACTCAGAAAGGATACCGCAATATAAATTAAAGCAAAATTAAGAACCTTAAAATCCCCTCCTTATCCTAACCATGCTGTAGATCTGTAACTGTATTAACTGAAACTTTGCTACATTGTCCGTGTCCCAAGCTCTTTGATTCTCACACATCTCTCTTTGTGAGGATGCTGAAGCTAGGGCGAGTAATTTTGACCTAATATCACTGTCCAGAGTTCCTATATAGTTTCTGCACAGAAAGAGTCAAACTTTCCTTGTCTTACTCATAAGAAGTTTTCTTAGGGAGATGCCTCCTGTGAATCAAGTGAGTAGGATTTATAATTTGAGGAGTGCAATAAAGATATCAATAGATGCAGCAGGTTGATTCATCTGACAGTTTATTATAATAGATCATTTGATCTTAACACCCTACTGGGTGAACTTTAATACTCCTTTATGAATTTTTTGTTGTTTAGGTCACAGAATGAAAAGCTACTACAGTTGTTGCTTCTCAGATGTATTTAGACTCTGATGGATCCATTAAATCTCCAATTTTTCATTAATTAAACAAAAGGATATTAGCAAGCATTCCTTTGTGGAGGTAGAGAATGGGTAGGAGGTATATTATACATGACAGACACAGCTAAAGTCAAAGCAGTGTGTGTGTCAAGGGCATGCATGCCGGCTGCCCTCTGCTAAAAAACAGTCTTTATTCCCTTCTGTAGCCTGGGTGAGCACTAAGCAGCCCCCTCCTCCGTGGCTGGCTGGTTCAGTCTTTCTAATACAGCAATACTGTTCTCTGATGTTTCTCCAAGTTCTTTCCTAGGCTTCCCCACTCATTTCAGTTGCTCTCCAGCTCTCTGTGGCACTCCTCCCACACCCTGATCTTTCTGATATGGCTGGCTGGAAATTTCTCCTCAAAACGTGCTTTTTTCTCTTTCCTCAGCAATAAAGGAATTTTTCAAAGAAATGACTTTTTTTTTTTTGGTGGAAAATAGCCTCAAAGCTAAATATATTCTTTTTGATTGAGGATAGCCAGCTGAAATATTTTGGTTGAGCAAATCAAACAGAAATGTTCTGTTTTGTACCAATTTCGCACTAATTTGTGTTCCCCTGAGCTCCCACACAGAAGCTGTGCCTTCAGCTTCCAAGCTCTGCTATCCCCTAAAGGCTGCAGTGTGAGCCCCTTTTGAATACCAGCCTCTGCTCCGGTGAACAAAAAGATATCCATGTCCCTAGAGAAGCACCTGAACACAAAATTTTACAGAGCTGCAGAATAAAAATCTAATCTCAGTGAGAAATGCAGCGTTCTTCTAGTCTTAGTGCAAAACAAAACAACTGGCTCCACACTTGCAATATTTTTAAAGTTATTAGGGTGCTGTTTGTGGCTTCCTCTGGCCTTGAGCAATTGCACATGTGAGGTGAAACTTGTTCAGAGTGAGCTAAAAAATTTTAAGTCTTTAACGTGCACATGGAAAAAGGGAGCAGGGATGGTCTAAAGGTGCACCCATTAGCGATAAGCTACCTAACTCATCAGGATGAGTAAAGGGATTTCTTGAATATTTAAGATGAAAGAAACCTGGAGCTGGTTCTGTGAGGAGACAGGGAAGGTATGAACGTGGAAGCCTTGGTGAGTGAGGAAGTGATTTTGAAACAGCAGTTTTATGGGAAATCAAAGTACTGGCTATGCCACGGACCTGGACTGAGTGGCCCAGGATAGATGGTCCCTTTCTTTCTCAGCAAGGCAATTAGAGTCCTGGCTTCTTGGATAGTCTCTGAGCTAATGAAGATTTACTGGTTTTACAGCAAAGCGAGCTGAGTAAGATGATGACTTTCACAAACAGACCCATGGAAGGATGTAAAGCTTTCTGGAGAAATTTTAAATGTAGAATATAATTGTACAAATAATATAACAGGTAATTCAATACACATGATCCGTAGGTATATACGTATTACAATTTCATTTTAACCTGAAGAATTTACCTGTGTGCAGGGGAAGAACCTTCCATTAAAATATTGTAAGATATTGCCCTATTGCAACGTACCAAGGGAAAAGTTTCCATACTGTATGTGTCTGCCAAAAGACACCAAAGATAACAGGACGCTCAGGTAACTACAGCTCACAATATATGTATTATGGGGCACAGACTTATTAAAATAATTGTAAAGATTCCCCTTCAAATCAGTGGCCTTGGATTAAAAATGAACAAAACCCAACTTTTCTAAAATTATTATTATTATATCTTTTAGTGCTCTCCTAACTGTTTCAGTATGTACTAAGCATATGATATTACTGCTGTTTTATACCCAGTCCCATCCTCTACAAGAAAATCGCAGTACACACATATTTGCCATGCTCCGTTTAACTATCACAAAATGTTACGGAGGACCCATTCTTGTCTTCCATGCTTAGCTCCCCCACACAGAAGTCTGGACAGTTGTAAAGGGTCTTACGTCTCTTGGAGGATGTTGTGTGATAATAACTAGGACACAAAAACGAAATCAGTGTCCTCATTGGGGTTAGCTGAGAGCGCGTGTAGCTGAGAGCAAGTACTAAGTGAGGGCGTGAGAGACCTTAAGAAAACCTGAGTGAGTGATTTATTAATCTTCAAAATCTAGCCAAGTTCAGGCAGAGGGAAGCATAATAAATTATCACTCTTATGACCTGGCATCTGCCTTTGCCACAAAGTCGCCTACTGGATAAACACACCCAGCAAAACAATAAAGTTAGACTGGAGTTGAGAAGGATTGATATTTTTTGACCTTGCATGTGACCATGTTGTACTTTGAACAATGTCATTTAATTGGTAATATGCATTAGCTTGCCATCCAGATTTATTAACAGTCATAAAAATTATAGCTGTTTTCCTCTGCTTTGCAGCCAGAGGATTTATCTCAATGACCTCCTCTGGCAGTGAATGCTACACAATGACCACATGCAGCATGTATAAGGATTTCTATTATCTTTTATAATTTATATCCTGTAATGACATTGAGTATCCAAACTGAATCTTTTGAAGTTTGCCCATTACTAATTGTTACTTCATAGCTAGATGACATGGATTCATCATCACATCATGCATAAATAAGGAGGAGCCATTATTCCAGGACAATACATGACAAATGAGTTCAAAATTATTTGCATCTTTTCAGTCATTTGGATAAGGAAATAGAGTATATGTTTTCAAGACTTACTTGAGGTTTCAGGAGCAAAAGTTGTTTTTTGTAGAGCAGTTGTAGGAGGCAAGGAGGGTCCCTTAGTAGACGAAGCACCCAAACTCCCATTTTGTGCTGATTGTGTTTCATATGCTTGTGTAGCTGGCAATGAGACAATCAGGTCAGATACACCTGTAGACTTCTCATCATGGAAGTGGTGAATGAATCTTTAAACACAACCTTTTTCACTTTTGTTTCTTATTGCAGTTACTTCAGACTCAAACTTTAAATGTTGAATTTTAACCTGAAACCAATTTAAAAAAAGAAGAGACCCCCCCCCCCAATATGTACAGGCTTGTAAACATAATAACAGTAACCCTCTGTGGCTCCCTCATCAGAGGAGCAAGTCAGTAAAAGCTTGCAATAGGAGAATGAAGAGAAAGCCAGGCTAGCGGTAATCCTTCAGGCACAGAGACATTCAAACACAAATATGCTTTGCAAACTGCGCAAAATAATCAGGTGTGTGGGAGAAATGAGGAGGGAGGCAGCCAGTTGTCTTGTAACCGCACGGAGAGCTGTTTTCCCATCGGGATCACACGTTCTCCACGTCCTGTCAATCCTGGCAGCAGCCCAGCTCTAAGCACTCCGCTTGTGTTTAGGAGCTGTGAGAACAGATTGTTCTCGGGAACATGTGCTGTACACTGTATATTCCTCAGTAGGAGATCCGGAGGGGAGGGAAGGGATGATCTCATTTTCATTTTATTTTTTAATTTGATTTGGGTGCAATTCTTCCTGCTACTTATGGATAGCACCAGATAAGACTTATGTCTTTACCTACGGCTTGATGTGAAGCTTTTTGCATTTATTTCAGTGGACTGTAGATCAGACTCCCATTCCTGATGTCAAGGGGCAAAATCAACCTGCTATGGTACAAAATTCTGTGTGCAAGTTTTTACCACTCCTGAGATGAAAAATGCAGCCTCGCAAGGAAGGGTCCCTTAATTCCACTATACAACTGTACAATTAAATCCTAGCAACTTAATTTTCTGCTGATTTGTGGCTTTGAAGTGGCACTTAAGCAGCATCCAGGCCTTATGCCTCATACACAGTACAGGCTCTACCAACAACACATTCAGTAGATTGAAAAGCTTCTGTGCCAAAAGTCTATGGGAACAGAAGCATCCATATCCAGCCATTGCAACAGAAGCACTGAAAGCACAGTGCGCCTGCTAGAAATCTGCCTTTTTGCTAAATTCCCTAACTCAAACCTATGCAAGGTTTAACTTGATCTCAAAAGCAGGAGACAGTGTAAGCCGTTACTGCGGTGCTCACATTCTGCACTGGAATAGGCAGGGAACTCTGTGTGAGCACGCGGTGACTCAGTTCTGCCATCCCCACTGACACATCGCTGCAGTAATTCATCATGCTCCAGCTCAGCCAGCTGCAGCAGAGATTTCTGCCTCCCTGACGGGGGGGGGGCCGGGATTTGCGGAAAACAAGCCCACCAAGGGAAAGCCCACCAACGGAAGGCGGGTCTTTCGCCGCCCGGGCGGGGGGGGGGGCCTGGATTTGCAGAAAAGCAGCACAGCAGAGGAGGGTGGCTGCTGCTGCAGAAGCAGTCACATCATCGTTTAATGGGCTCGTTGTCAATAGCTGCTTATGAATAAAATTGTAAAGCTGTAAATATTGTAAAACAGCTGTCCGAATCAGGCTGATTGCTGCAGTCACAGAACTCCCTGGTGATAATGCAGCTCTCCCTGCTGATATTTTGATAAGATAAATGACAATGTGTTAACCACTGTTCTCCACACATATTTGTCAAACAGATAAATCAACAAGGGAGAACCTGAAGCTGCTCTGCAAAGCTGCTGTCTGAGCCTCAGGTTTTTCCTTACTATTTATGATCTGAGAGTCTTTCATTTTTTTAACCAGTTGAAATTCAACACACGCCCTCACTTGATCTTAGTATGATTTCCTACTTAATCTACATATAATTCACATGTATTTTGTTTTTTCCAACAGTACTTTTAATTTTCCTTACAGCAGGCTCTTAGCTAACTATCTTTGACATCAAAACCTACTTCAAATAAATGGCAAGTGACTGCACAGTACAGAGATTATAAACATCTGTACATATGCAAACATGCTGCTTGGCCAACCAGAGAATCAAGGCTACACCTCTACAGGGCAGAAGAAACCACACATGATCCATAATAAACCTGTAGTGTAAGGACATCATTGGACATTAAAAGGAGGACTAAACCTCCCCAGAGACCCCACACCCTAAGCAAAAAACACATATAGACCTCCAATCTGCAATCAATAGCCTGAGAAAACTTTTGCATTAATGAATGCATTAATGAAAGCTTTAAAAAAATCTCAGAGTACCAAAACCAATGGACCTCCATGCCCGCTCAGAGGACTGGAAATTGTCTACTGAGAAAACCAAGCAGTTCTCAGTTTTAAGGTTAACACTAATAGCTGATTGTATCTGCCATTTTGCAAGCTTCATATTTTCTGATGAGCAAAAAAGCAATGAGAATTTTAAAAAAAAGTGTTTTAAAACATCTTTCTACCTAACACTTCTTAGCAGCCGTCTAGACTCAGTGTTTTAGAATGGCTAAGCATACCCATAGCTTGCAGTAATGACCTAAGGACAATTGTGCAACACATGGTCACCATAACCCTCTTTAAAACTCCTATGTTTACTCTTCCAGTAGTTTTACTGAAGTAAAGTTTCACTTTTAATTACCAGGAGTTTCATTTAAAAGTATCTCTTTTGCTGTTTCCTTTTCCCATTTTTTAATATTTAATATTTCATTGCACCTCTCCTGGAGGTATCACCATCCAGGGGACTGGCTTGAGATAAAGCAGGAACACATCTTCAAAAAATCCACTCTTTCTTCTTAACTTAATGCTTTGAGCACAGGCCTTAAATGAGCTGGCTGCTCCATATGCAGGGGAGGAAGAATATAGAAATGTTTTGTTCCGTTTTGGTTTATATTCTCTTTGTTAGCTCTAAGTATCCCAAGATAGGTATTCTTGTTTGCAGATGCAACTTGCTGTGGAGTAAAACCATTTAAAATTCGTGTGCAGTCTAGACCCCAAAACAAGTGACAACGTTCTTTTGACTAAATGTGAACTAGTGGATTACATCTCTCACATTAATAAATAAGCTTAATCGTTGGCATGAACAGAAAGAGGAAGAGACTGTACTTATGGCCCGTGCAAGGAAAGAATACTGAAGATTAAAAAAAGTCCTTTCCGTGACTTCACAGAGTATGGAGCATTGGGGGCTTTTTCTGAATCTGTAATGAAAGGTGACGGCAGCCACAGAAATAGTAGCAGAGACAGGAAGCCCTGTCAAATTTCTGGTGTGTGAACGTGATCATTCACTGAAGCTCTTAGCAAGGGCTGAAGCGGGGAAAGTGATGGCCTCCATTAGAAAACAACAGAAATGTCTGACTTTTATTAAAAATCAGGTGTAGTAAAGGCACCTTCAATTTCTACCTCAGTTCCATAATGCCAACAAAAGAGAGGAGAAGCTGAGTGCTATGGAGAAAAAAGAGATAGTGGCCAACTTTTATGTTCTCTCTTCTGCTTTTAAGAGCAGAAGTCTTGCCAGGCCTATGTTGTCTTCAGTGAGAAACTTTCCCCCTGCCCTGCACTGCTATTGCAGATGTACATACAGCCTGGAACTGGACAACAAAGTCAATAGTATTTCAAAGTGCCAACGTGTGGGGCGAATCGGCCTGTGAAAGCAGACAGATTTCTGTAGCCAAGCCAGCCATACAGCAGTCCTGGGACCTATCTGCATTCCACAAGGGCTGGCCATACATCTGCAAAGCCCCTACAGTGTCCTGTTCCACTCCTTTGTGCTGAAGCCAAGGCTATGACCTTTTTGCAAGGCAGGACAAATTTTTGTCTTAAAACACTAACACTTGTTTTCACACACACAGTTTTTCCAAATATTTCTTAAAACTGAATGAAAATATTGCAAAGTCCCTTAACCTGGGCCAGTTCTCCGGGTCCTACTCAATGTTCCTGTTTATTCAAGAGGTATGAGAATCAGGTCAGTAGTGCAGACATAGCCTTCTGTTTTTAGGTTCATTTATCAACCATTTTTATTCAGTTTTTGTTTTCTGGTATAAATAAGGGGCTTTAAAAGTAAGTTACAATCCAAGCAACCAGAGACAGACTGAATGCTGGCTGGTGGAAAGGGAAAAGAACAGAAACAGGAAAGAAGGGCTTTGATCAAAACTTCACACCCAGAGCCATCCTACTTGCAGAACCTATGCCTGTGGCCATTTGCAGCTGAAGCTTGCATCTCCACATGAATGCATATTTTCATGGTGGACTATACCACCCACAGGAAAATCCTTTTTTACAACATTCAGGAGGTTTGTAATTTGACCTACACCCGACTTTTTCGGGTATTGGTTCAGAGCAGTGCCTGGAACTAAGCTGCACAGGCAGGCATGCCGTTCCTTATTAACATTTCTTCCCTTGCCAGGAGCTCTGCCTGTCAGTAAGATTTAGTTCCAGGTGGCTGTACCGATCTGATACCCGCAAGTCAGGAACCTCTGTCAAACCTAAAGAACTAGAAACTGCACTCATAATGTATTGCTGCGTGGACTCCTGACAGGCTTACGCGATTACAAGTACAAACTTAAAAAGATACTTTGTGGCCTTCAACATCACTTCACCAGCTTGTGCACTGGCCAAATCGTATCCTGTGATTCACCAATACTAGCATGTAAAGGCAAGCCAAAATGCAAAAGAGTGCAGACTAATGATCAGACTATTCCCTATGAAACCACAGCAGGAAAGCTGCGTTAACAGAAGATGTAACCACTATGTGAGAGAGAAATTGCTCTGTAGGCAGTGAACAGGGTCAGGTCCATGAGGGATGGTTTTAAAAGAGTATTTGGACAGAGTAAGCATGCAAGCAGTCTACTAATAGGGCTCACTTTTCAGATAAGGGAACCAAGCAAAGAGAAACCAAATTCTAATCATTTGTCACGTTTACATATGCTCTAAATGTTGATTTGGAGAACGTCGGTACACCACTGACTGCTGAGTGAAATATCTACAGTATTTCTGTCTTAATTTTTTTAGTCAATTAAATATAAAAAAAAAAAAAGGAGTATTTGAAAGCTCTGGTTCAGAAAAAGGCTTAAGCAAACATTTATCTTGTAGTTCACAGACAACAAAGAGATTGGATTCTGATGCACTGGAGATGTTATTCGGAAGATTTAAGGGGAACAAAAGTATTTCCTAAGATTGCTACAGGGTAATTAGTACCACATCTCTGCTTTTTTTTATATTACTCAATATAATATAGAATATAATTAACTCTAGCATTGAATATATAGATATATATGTAAAACAAAGAGGCTGCTTTGATACCATTCTGATCATATAAAGTCATTTCCTTTTAATTAAATACTTATTAAATATAAAAAAAAAACAGAAGGAAAGAAAAGCTAAAACTCTTCCAAATTCATCTCTCCAGTTACAGGGAGATTCAAATCCTGTGTAATGGCTCCAGCTCGCCTCCTCTACACATTAGAAGTATAGTATTCCTTGTGTCAGATTCTTGGGCAAGATTCATTAAGGACATGTAATACTGTAAGAGGAAGAGCTATGTTTCTCAAAATCTCTGAACCCAAACTACCCTCTTTGATCTCTTCTTATTGCTCCACACTGTTTTTCAGAGCTGTAGCTTCTAATGAATCAGAAATGGTTCAATGGAATTATCACTTACTGTTTGTCGTGCTGTTACTTTTATCTTCTGCTGCAGGGGACGTTTTTACTGGTGGTTGTGGTGTTGTACCTTGTGTTGTTTGTTGTGTAGCATTAGTTGAAGAAAGGGTGGCGCCTAATTAAGGAAATACATTAAAGTTATTTGATTAATTTTTGCATACACATGCATGTGCAAACTACCTATTGGCCTGCTTGCAGTCTAATCTCAGATTATCAAATGAATATTTAATTTAAACTGAAGCTCAAAATGAAAAGGGTTCCTCCCTGTTCTGCAGAGAAGCTATGCCCACATCCCCTAGATGGGTCATTCCACTGAACACAAGCCTTTGGTAATGCAGTTATAAGACTTTGCTTTAGAGCTGTCTTGAATCGGACAGAAGAGAGCCACTGTGTACACCCGTAAGATTTCACCATAGAATTCATTATCTGTAAAACAAATTTCCAGGCCAAGAGGCACTGCTTCTTAAATTTCTGATCAGCATTTGATTCTTTCTTTTTTTTCCCCCCTCCACACAATATGTATCAACAAGCGGTGCAAAGAAATTTTCACTTACTGCTTGTGATGGATTCATTTCTAACTTCTCTTGCAGTTGTTGTCGGTACTGGTGATTGCAATGTTGTCACTGGTGAAGCGGACGTTTTCTCAGCTTCCGTTAGTGCAGGAAAGGCATTCAGGTTTATTGATTTATTTTATCACACATAAATAAACATTGCATAGCTCTAGCTACTTTCTTGCAAAAAGGTAATGAATGTCTCTTTGTAGTCTGACTCTTAAGAGAGTTTTCTTAATGACTTTTTTTTAAAGAAGATGCAAAGTACACACAGCTTGTATCACAGAGAGGATTTGGCCTGTACACAACCAGCAAGTTGCTCACTGAAAATTAGCAGCTGTACCCTCAAGGCATGCCCTAGGGAAGAGGTGTTTGCTGTTTGGTAGGTATGGGAAGGGGCTTGGCATGACAATGCCAAGTGGAGAGGTGTGGGGAAAGGAGCCTGGCATGGGTGGATGGGTTAGCCGAGCTGCTGGACTGGACCTCTGATCACAGCTTTACTACATTTAGAAGGAAGAAGGACGTAAACTCCACAGAAAGAAGTATGAGTGACATGCAGGAACACAGCTTATATATTACAGGTAAAGGACTGAGGAGAAAGAGACTCTGTCTAACCTTGCTGGAGCTTTTTTCTTTTGTCTGTGCTGACCACCTCAAGCCCCGGTTCAGTTTTTCTGCTAGCTAGCTTTCCCAGATCCACTTTCCCTGTGCCTTCCATTCTCCTCCTCTACACTCAGATTTTTGGGAAAAAAGAGCCCCTGGCAGGCTTTTCTCTGAGGTGTGCAGAGAAGTGTAGGAAATCCTCGATGAGAGGAATAATATTCGCTGTTGAGTGATATTCCCAGTGGTGAACTCTGTGCCCTTTATACTGTGGCTCATCGTAGTTTTCTATTTTATCCTACAGAGTGGCAAGATTTGGAGGCTGAGAGGAGGGGAAAGGACTCCCAAATGCAGTAGGGATAACTTCTAGCTGCTGGTGCAGAAGGAGGGGAGCAGAGCTGGCCAGACACTGCAAAGGTGTTGGAAAGTTTTATGTCGGTGTGTCTCACAGCACATGGGTGGCATACTGCAGCTCCTACGTTCCCCTGCGCATGCAGCCAAGGGAATGGACTGGCCAACCTGCTGTTGAAGTGGCCAGGATGGAAAAACATAAGAAAATTATTTGAACAGCCCAGCTTTCAGTTATGTAATCTAATACAAACAGAAAATGCTATAGTCAGCTACAGAGGCTCATTTCAATCCTTATCAACAACCCAACATACGTCATGCTGTCTTTTCATAGATGGGGAAAATGATAGAACAGAAGCAAATCATGGCTCGTTGTTTTCCCTCACATGATTTTAGTACTCCTAAATGTAATATTCGCACCAGAACTTTTAAAACATACTTGATCATACTCTCTTCCTCTACTCTTGGTTTCTTGGCTGTTCACCTAGAAGAGCAATGCCTCAAAGAATGGCCTGGACCTTCCTGAGAACATGTTCTGCATTCACAAAATGTTTTATTCTCATAGGTTGCTTCTGAGACTTTTCTCATAGGCATAAACAACAATAACACTTTCCCTTGTGAGACAAAAGGCTGTCAGGCAAATTTCAGCGAAACATCTGAAGAGATCATCGACTGTGTTACGTTGGACCTTCATTACATGTTTGAAACAGATGTAAATATCTGGGTTTTTGAAGAATAAGAGAACTGCAACACAATTGGAAAAGGACTACAGTAACCCTACTACAGTAACCCTAACATATGCTTACTTCACTTGGCTACATCTTATTCATCTCCATTACTCCATTCAGCTATATACATCATTATAATCCCAGTGCTATCAGTTCCGCAACAGATTCATTGGTGCCTTTGGTTATCAGAAAATCCAGTCCTACTTCCAAGTTTTCCTGTGTCACATGTATCAATTATTAAATACAGCAGCGTCTTCAACATTCAGACTAATAAAGGAGTTGATAATTAGCTCACATGTATGAAACGTAATCAATATTAACTTTTAATAGGTCCGAAGGCACAGAATAAGGGGAACCGAATGTGTAGGTTGAACATATAAGCCAGAAGCACAGACTTTCACCATCTGAGCCAGAGAGTTTCTCTGTTAACTTTTCATAGTACTAGGAATTTAAGTTTGACCTAGTTAAAACAATCACAAACAAAAGAGAGAGAATGCACCTTCTGAAATAGATAGCACTGGTACAGATAAAAACATCAATAATCAATGAAATGTGAACCACAGCATCAGTGGTTTTAAGAAGTTGCAAATAGCCTTTTTGCAACTGACAGCTTTCTGCACATGTATACTCTCATATTAATTGAGACCCAGTGTTGTCAAATATTACATAACTCCTTATTCTTTAAGCCCAGGTCCTTTTCCATCCTGTCAAGATCAGTAACTCTCTGCTGCCATACCCCTAGCTGGATAGCTGGTGCCATTTTCCAGGTTCTCAGTCTCACAACCTCTTGAATTGTAAGTCTCAGCTAACTTTGCTAATACCTGATCACACTTTAACCACTCCTTGAGAGCCTATAAACTCATAGAATTTAAGCCTTTTTCATCTAGAAAAAAAAACCCCAAAACCAAAAAACCCTCCCAGCCTGCTCCAATTAACCCTCTCTACACTAAGAACCCTCAATCCTTTATTCTTCTTAACAGAATTAAATGAGAATCCCAGGCAAAGACATAGAGTGTTCTACAGTCACCTTAGATGAAGCAATTCACCTGATTTCTCTCAATGGTTGGAAAAGCTGAAAATTAAAAAGGTAACGGGAACTTCAGAGTACCAGATAATAGTTAATTTGAGCTCTTACCTGATATTGATGTTAATGTAGTACAGGATGCTTTGGTGGTAGGATTATTTTCTGAAATAAACACAGAAAAAAAATCAATCACATTAGCATAGCCATCTTCCAGATCTATTTACCATTACATTATAGATAGGGCAGGCACATAAGGCAGAGAGTAGCAAGGAACTTCCTAGAAAATCAAGTCCAGAAGAAGCCAAGTCATACAACTCTGCTAGCAACTTTTTCAAGCTGTATCCTAAATCTGTTAACTACACCCTCACTGCTCCTAATAGGAAGCATCTTTCATAGCCTCACCCCTAGGACTGTGGGTTGTTTTCTGAGAGGGGATGCTTTCAGCCTCTTCCTTATCCCTATACATAGTGAAGAAAGGAGAATTCACAGAACATGGTCCAGGAAACACCAGGCTGACTAGTGATGGACATTCCACATTGCCCTAGAGGCAGTGCTCCAGCTGTTGGGATTTTGCTGCAGTAAATGAAGGCAATCTTAAAAAGCCTAGGTCAAATTAGTAGGTAAAAATCTCCAAACTCTCCAACTAGAGTTTTGACTTCAAATAAGATTTTATTTTCAGTCTCACTTCTGGGGTGTCCTTTTTTCTATTAACACTAGAGGTTGATGAAGGGGGTGCAAAATTGCATCAAATCTGAAACACTGGCATTTCACAGCCCTCCTACACCACTGCAAAACAAGAGTGGTTACATTTGGGGAGGAAGAAATCAGCTCTGTTACTGAATGGAGGAGCAGAATGGCACAGATTAATTCCACAGTGCTTTCAGGTTTGTACCGTGACATCCTGTCATGCTGCATTAAAATGCCATAATATAGACACTGCAAAACTGAGTCAGGACAGGATGTCACCAGTCTTGTGTGACTCCATTCATGGTAATATCTGCTGGCATGCTCTCTTTTTCTGGCTACAGGGCAGAACAGTCAGCTTTGTTCCCTCTGCTCAATGTGCTGCAGACTGATTAGCATTTCACGAGCTCCATCAGAGGCCTGCCAGAGTCACCGACCCAACCTGGGGATTCAGGAAAAAAATATGTAATACAGTTGCAGGAATTCTGCAGGCACATTTTCAGGACAGGGCCTTGTTAGATGAGCCCTTACAATTGCTGTTTAAAGAGTTTAAGGTGGTAGCAGTCCTCTCAGCTGTGACGTGGTGATGGCACACCATACATTTTTAACGGATCTTGGCTGACCAGCGTCCCTCTGTGGGCTCTCTCTTCTAGGTATTCTACCGCCTTCGTAACGTCACGTCCCAGCACACATCAAACTGGCCTAGTTTGTTTGGAGTACACCCCTGTCCCCACCACCAACTTCAGCCCAGCGTGTGCTGGGCAGCAGGGCTGGCCCTGGCGAACCTTTCTGTCCAATTGGGAGCAGGCTGCAGTAATTTCAGCTCAGCCAGAAGGGTGCCCTGCCACTGTCCTCATTAGCTTCTGCAGAAAATTTCTAGCCCTTCTCACCAAAAGCCAGAATAAGTTTTGTCACTGTACTACCAAAGGGGCACAGCAGTATAGAGATCGACTGTCTATGGAAACCTCAACATTCACACAAGATAGAAATTACATCTTTTCCTTACGGTCCTGCTGCTGCCTCAGCTTTACTCTCCAGGTTATATGAATACAGTCAGGCTATGCTAAGGCCCTTGCTCAATACATTTTAACTATAGTTTTCCCGCTATTTAGTCACCTAGTCAAAATAATGTTTCATAACCTGATACTTTAAAAACAAATTATATTCAAACAGACCAAAAAGCAAGTATTTGTCAGGGGTTTCCCAAACAGCAAACAGTTTTCTGCCTCGTAATTCTCATTAAGAGCTGGTAACAAAGCTTCTCTAATTCCCCATGCCACAGGGCCATAACACTAAAACAGAATGTCTGTTCAATAGTGCCTACATTTCATATGGTTTATTATAACGTTTCTCAGTAACTACCATGTCTGTAACACCAGCTAAACATACTAGCTGGCCAGTTAGCTCATTTCCTAACTCAGCGTGCCTTTGTGAAAAGCCCATTGTAATACTTAGAGTATTCATCTTGTAAAGACATGCTGTACTTACCATCCATGATGATGGTGCAAGATTTCTTCAAAAATGAAAAAAAAAAAGAGGATTTAAGTCACTATGGTTTGGGTCACTTTATTAATATTAGCTAATAATACTATGACCAGGCATAGCTAACTCCACGTATTCCCCTCAGAGGCAACTGTAGTGCCCCAGTGTGCTCCTGCAGCACACCACTGCTGCGCAGGTGCCTCTGTCCCTTTGATCCTCCCTTAGCAGTGTGAAAGGCAGGGGAAAGTTAACAGCGCTGCCATTTCCTAAAGCTTTTGCTATGCTGTTTCGTGAATTGCAATTTGTGGATTTTATCATAGTCTAGAGAAATTATGAAAAATTGGATTAGCGGGATAGAATAAAAATGGAGTTTTAGGAGTGAATTGATTGCATACTTAGGAAAGGATGGAAAATTAAGTATATTTTAAAAACAAATTAAAAGCAACCTGAAAACATGCTTACAACTAGCCAGTAGTTTGGGCGGAATTGGTTGGTTCAAAGTAGTAATGCAGCTGGTGGGCTTACTATGTTCTGATTTCACAGAATCACAGAATGGTTGAGGAAGAGACCTCTGGAGATCATCTAGTCCAACCTCCCTGCTCAAGCAGGGTCCTCTAGAACATATTGCCCAGGATCACATCCAGACGGGTTTTGAATATCTCCAGGGAAGGAGACTCCACTACCTCTCTGGGCAACCTGTTCCAATGCTCTGTCACCCTCACAGTGAAGAATTTTTTCCTCAGGTTCAGATGGAACTGCCTGTGCTTCAATTTGTGCCCGTTGCCTCTTGTCCTGTCGCTGGGCACCACGGAGAAGAGACTGGCCCCATCCTCTCCACACCCCCCATTCAGATACTTGTACACGTTGATGAGATCCCCTCTCAGTCTTCTCTTCTCCAGGCTACACAGGCCCAGCTCTCGCAGCCTTTCCTCATAGGAGAGATGCTCCAGTCCCCTCCTCATCCTTGGAGCCCTCCGCTGGACTCTCTCCAGGAGTGCCACGTCTCTCTTGTACTGGGGAGCCCAGAACTGGACACAGTGCTCCAGGTGAGGCCTCCCCAGGGCTGAGGAGAGGGGCAGGATCACCTCCCTCCACCTGCTGGCAACACTCTGCCTAACGCACCCCAGGATACCCTTGGCCTTCTTGGCCACAAGGGCACACTGCTGCCTCATGCTTAACTTGTTGCCCACCAGGACTCCCAGGTCCTTCTCTGCAGAGCTGCTTTCCAGCAGGTCAACCCCCAGCCTGTGAAGTTGAGTTGTGACTAAGGAGAATCCTAGGGGATAAAAGCAAGAGATTAAAAATGATTGAGAAAAGATCTTGGTCTAAGTGTTACAGACTGTTAGCTAGCTAGGAGGAGAGAGAGATACACACAGACAGAAAGATTTATTTTTCTGCTCATGTCAGGTTGGCTGCAGTCATAGACGAAGGGCATTCAAGTTAAGCTACAGCTGCACTATTTTCAGGGAATTTAGAGATTGGCATTCCTTTGATACGACAGAGTCATGATGTACCCTACTGTGGCAGCAGCCAAAATCTACTTGGCAACTGCTCCCTCACACAAACCTCTCCTATTTTCTGTGCTCCCCTGGCAATAAACTCAGCCAAATTTGTGTATATGCCTGTGATACAGAGTCCTTGTGTCTGGAGAACATATATGTTGCTAAAAGGTGCTAAGATGCTACACTGGATTGAATTAGGAATGGCAGAGCTGTTGCTGCTGGGTGGGAAATCCAAAAAGAAAAACACGTCTAAAACTAGATAGGAAAGAGAAGAAATCACAAAGGGGGAAAGATAACAGCACGGGAAGAAGGTGAGAGCAGAAGGGCAGGAAGGCACAGAGACAGTAAGACAATAATTGTGGCAGGGAAGGATGTGAAGGAATGAAGAAGAGAGCTTGACCAACATCTGACCCATGGTCAGAAGGCCAAAACAAAAAAAAAGGGTCAAGTGTCTTTTTTTTTTCTGACTCACAGAATTTGCCTTTATTGTGGAAAAAAAAAATACAACTTTTTTAGCTTGGCTTGAAATGATTCATTTGTTATAAAATTAAAACAACAGTAAAATCATTTAAATTTGGTCTTGAGACATGATTTCAAAGTGAACCAACCTAAACACTGAATTTTCTTTCTTTTCCAGAATTCAGAAGGGGTCCCTAAATTCAGCTGGAAAAGACCAATGGCCACAGTTGTCCTCAAACTGCAGCTTTTGACATAGGCTTCAACCTCCAAGGTCTGAGCTTGGAGCTCTGACGATTTCTGTCTCTCATTATTTTTACCCTTACACTGGGAAGACTAAGATAAGCAGGTCTTGAGCTTGTATTGATTAGGTGCCTATTAGTGCTTTGTGCCCTCTAGTATCCTGTAGCATATGAACCCAACTGCTGATTCAATATCAGGCAGTAATTTCTGCTTTTTCCCCCCACCCCCCTTCATTTGCACAATGACCAAGTGTAAAACACTACAAGAAACAGCTAATACTAAAGTGAATGCAAAAAAAAACAAAATTAAAGCAAAAACATTTCTAAACATGAATAGACTATTTTGAATGCATATTGATGATATTCATTATATCAGTTACTGTATTTAAAAGCTTGCTGCTTTGGCATCAATATCTAATTTTGAAAAAAAAATAATGGAAAAGTCATTATCACTGTAGAAATAGTGAGTGAAATGACCTATTAGACTTTTTCTAACTTGGCCTTGCAATAAATAGATAGGAATGTATGTTCATATTAAAATCCTTCAGTTCAGATCAGCACTGGTGAGGGCACAGTGGAAGCGCTCTGTACTGCTTGGGGAAGCCTGTTGAGAAAAGTGTGGGATACCTGGAGGGGAGTTAATGGAGAACAATAAAAATCATCAAGAATCTAGAAAAAAACCCAAAAAGCCTGCAGGAAAGATTACAAGAATTGCATTTGTTTAGTCTGGAGAGGAAAAGATTAACAGGAGGCAGGATAATGGCACTCAAGTAGGTAAAGGGCTGCTACAAAGAGA